TTTGAACACTCACTTCCAAAGTCACTCCTAGATCAAAATACTTACCAAATTATTTTTAAATTCAGTTTGTATTCTAGCAACTTATTATATGTAGTGAGATGTGAATTTTTAAACTAAACATTTAAACCATTTTTTTATTTTTTTTTATTTATTTTTTCACAATAATGACGTGGCATCACTGATTGTGGATGATTTTTTATTTATAAATCCGAAGGCTTGCGTCCATTTATTTTTAAACTCACACACTTCCAAAAAGGATTTTCCTCCTATAAACCCAAAGTTTTACCTTCATCTATCTTTAAAACCTCATCTTTCCATAATCATTTTTCTTTTGGAAATACTCCTCTAATTAATTCTTAATTCACTTTGTACTTCAACATTTTAGTATGCAACATAAAGGTTGGGAATGTGGAACGCTATAGCAAACCACGATCCTGGTTCCCCAATTCGCGGTGGGACATGACCCAATTTACCAACTCCATCAACCTGATTGGAATTCAAGCAGTTAATTTTTTTTTTTTAAGTAAAGTATGCATACGTTAATTGCAATATGACTCTCAAGTTTCTTTAACCATTACTGATACAACTAGCATATTTGTTTATTTTGACTCTTGTAAAGCCTTAACCACCAATTCCTACATTTAATAAGCGAACCTAAAACATACCATGTTCCCTAGATTACCGTACAAGCCTACCCCCTTGTACTCGGTTCCTACTGAGTGGCGTACCCTGATCCTGTACCCGTCCCACGCAAGGAACGAACTGGGTTCCATACAAATATAGTATACAGTGTAAATTACTCTAATGTAATACAATTTTCTATACATTAGTTTTCCTATATTGTTATGCATTCGATGTATATTTTGAATCAAATACTTAAGGCTTCGTTTGGATATCATGGTATTCTACTTGTTTCCATTATGTTTTTGCCAAAAATAAAAAACATGTGTTTGGAAACCATGGTGTTTTTTGAGCTAAATCATCATCAATCAAACCAAAAACACAACACTTATTTCAAAACACCTTTTAGGTGTTTTGGTTTTGAGTTTGAGAAGGTGTTAATATAATATCTAACATAATATATTAAATGTAATTAATATAGAGGTATTATCAACATGCTTATTATATTATACTATACTATATTGTATTATAGTTATTTTCTTTTTCTTTTTCTTTTTTTCCTTTTTCTTTTGAACTGGCTGCTTACTGTTTATGCTACAGTAAAAGTATTGTTGTTGCTACAGTAACAATCGGTGAGTCACTAAGATTTGGTTGATTATTAGATATTTGTTACCATATTGTTCATTTAACATTGTTTTGAGACTCATGAATATTGTTGCTACTAGCCGTCATAGCCGATTTTCCTTTTGTAACATGTAAATAGCAAATTAGCAATGTAATTGTTAGTGATGTAATTGTTAGTGATGCAATACACTAATATGATTATGTATAATTTGTGTGATTATGAAATAATGAAAATTAAAGTAGAAATGTGATTCCCCAAGTCTATGTACTTACGTAGCATAGTTGTTAATTTACGTAGCATAGTTGTTAATTTATGTGTTTTTGTGTAGGTAATTAGGTATGTTTTCATCGACCGATAGTGGGAGAAGACAGAATCCTACGTGGAAATACATTTCACTTGTGGACGAAGGAAATGCCAACAAGCACAAATGCATCTTTTGTAATAAGATTACAAATGGCAGTATATCAAGACAAAATGAGCATCTTATTGGGACAAAGAGGAAACGCAAAAATATTTTCCTTTGTCAAAAAGCCCCTCCCGATGTAGTTGAAGAGCTAAAGGAGTATGAAGAAAGGAAAGAGAGTATGGAAAGACACTTTCATTCATGAATCAAGCTCTAGAAGACAACAGGCTATGGATGATTACCTTCCGGAGCTTGGAGATGAAAATATGGTAGAGATCGATAAAGATGAGGAGCTTGAAGAGGAACAACTACAAGCAACTAGAGACAAGGGGAATGGTCCATTGGCCTTTATTCACAGATCATCTTCCATAATAGCAAGAGGAAGGGGAAGTTTGGGCTTGAATAGAGTGGGATCTTCAACAAAGAGGAAGGGACCGATGGATGCATTTCTCACCTTTGAACCAGTAAGGTCGCTAAGGATGATAGAAGACGTAAGTTGAGGCAAACATATATTGATGAAAGCCTCAACAAAGATGCTATAGCTAAAGTGCACAAAGACATTGCTCGTTGGTAGTGTCAAGCTAGCATTCCCTTTAATGCAGCACGACTTTGGTCATTCAGAATTATGTTAAAATCCGTGGGAAATTTTGGGCCTAACTTGCCTTCTTTCTGGAACAATACTGTTTGTATTATTAAGCTCACAGCTTCTCTAGTCCGTATTTTGAAGCTTGTTGACAGTGAGAAGAGGCCTGCTATGGGTTATACTTATGAGGCCTTGAATATATCGAATAAGGCTATTGTAAGAGCCTTTAATGATGATGCAACAAAATATGCACTTGTTTTGAGATCATTGATAAGAGGGGGCGAGATCAGCTTCATCAGCCTTTGTACGCTACAGAATATTACCTTAATCCTGTATTTTTCTATAATCACCCTAATATACAAGGGAATGATGAGGTTATGAAAGGCCTTTATCAAGTCATTGAGAAGATGGTGCCCATTAATGAGTAAAGCAAGGTTGACAAACAGCTAGAGATATACAGAAATACCGTGGGTCTTTTTGGTATGGAGATAGCCAAGAGAAACTGAAAAAAGAAATCTCCAGGTAAATATCAATAATCTATTCCTCAGTTTACTATATGTTCGATAGGAAATAAAAATACACTGCTAACACTATCTAGTAATCTATATTAACAGCTGGTTGGTGGGAGTCTTACAGTGCATCAGCTCTAGAGTTACAAAAACTTGTTGTAAGAGTCCTTAGCTTGACTTGTAGCTCCTCAGATTGTGAAAGAAATTAGAGTACTTTTGAGCAAGTATGTTAAGTTTCTTTTAATATAACAAAATTAATTCATTCCTTTTAAAGATATAGTATATTGAATTAACTACTTTGTATGAACTATAGATACACAGATACACAGCAAAAAGAGGAATAAATTAAATCATAAAAGGTTGCAAGATCTTGTATACTGCAAGTATAACCAAGCTTTGAAAGAGTAATTTGATTGTAGAGATGTCATTGAACCGATCAAGTTGTCTAATATAAGATGAAAGCAACGAGTGGTTGCTGGGAAATTTGGATGAATGTGATAATGCAGAAATGACTTGGTCGAGGGCAAGGATGCCCTTACATTTGGTGTTGTAGGAGATGCAATGGGAGTTAAAGAGGATGATACTAGATATTTAAGGTCGACAAGTAGGGAGCGGGAATCTTTGAGTGGTGGTGGTTCATCATCGAGGAGGGAACCGATTTCAAAGTCAGAAGATAAAGAAGAGTTTAACGAAGAAGAGGAAACTAAGGAGGATATTCCCTTTGAAGGGGATGATGATGATGTTGAGGAGGACGATTAGAGTCATTAGACTATTATATTGCTACTTATTTACTTTGTTTCAGTAGACTACTTAATTTTCATTGATATTAATGAACTGTTCGAGTGTGTTAGTATTATGACTACGACTGTATTTATGACTTTGGTAATTTATATTATTTATTTTGAGTCATTGACATCTTTTTTATGTGAGTTTCATGACCTCAACTTTCTTTATGCATGTTTGTATATCCTGAAAAATTCTGTGTAGTACACCTCGCTTCACTCCGGCACGCGCGTCACATTGCGCATTGCGCATGTGCCCGTAAACTGATTTTACATCCCACATTGCACCTCACACATTGTTAACATTGCACTGATGTTGTGACATCATAGATGGACTTTCAACCTATAAGCCTAAAGTTTTATCCCTATTTAATTGTGTAATCATACACCTATAAAAATGGTTTTTTTTTTTGTTAATAAAACTAAAGTTCTACACCCATTTACTTTTAAACACTTCCACGTCCAAGATCACCTGTGGACACAAAATACTCAACCAAATTATTTTTAACTTTGTACTTCAGTAGTTTAAGATAAAGTGTAAATTGTTGTATTTAGTTTGTTAGAATATAAAAATATAACCCTCAATCTCTCACCACAATTTTGGAGTTTTTGTGTAATGGTTAGAGACTTTAAAATGGTATCAGAGCATCACAAGTTTAAATCTTCCGTCATCACCACAACTTTAGAGTTTTAGTGTAGTGGTAGGAACTTTAAAATGATATCAAAGCAACCCAGGTACAAATCCCAATGCTCGCAAATTTAAAGTGGATTTTCTAAAAATTAATACCGCTGCGTGAGGCTAGGTTTTGGTCCATAAAAAGGACGCTCAATCTGCGGGGACATGTTAGAATATAAATTATAGTCCTCATCCACACCTTCGGAGTTCTAAGGGAGTTTAAGATAGTTATTATTTGCTTTAGTATTTCCTAACTGCTTAGATAAACATTGTATTTTTAAATCAACTGCATCAAAAAAATTTGTTATTTTCACACAAATGCCATGGCATTGTGTGGGTCTTTTGCTCATTTATATACTACACATTCTCCATAAATGCACTTCATCAGCAACTATTTTTATAGAATCCAAATTTCAATCTATGCAATTGTAACATTTTCGAGAGGCTTCTCTAAATGATTCTCAAATATGTTTCTTCTATTAATGGTAAATAATTTCCCTTTTTAGCAAAAAGAATCGGTATCAAAGGAGTTTGCACGTGTGAGCTGTGCAAATATGTAGTAAAAGAATAAATAATGAATCCTAGAAGTGTTAAGCTGTTTCCCAGTTTTTCACGTGGTGCTCAATTCCCCAAACACAAGTGTCCCACCCATACATATAGTGTTAAACAATGATGGACAGGACACGGTACTCAGTGTGTAAGAGTCATCATCATAAAAGTAAATGTAAGATAACTAAAGAAATAAAGCAAAAGGGTAGTCAGAAACAGAGAAAGTCATTTTAGCATTACTTAGACGCTTACAGTGGTGGAAGATCAGGATCTGAAATTGCTTCACTAAGCATTTTTTCATGTTCTTGAATGTTCTGCTTCAGCTCATGTGATAACTGTTCTTGGGCTTGAAGTTTTGTGATGCTTGGATAGTAAGCTCTGGCCACAAAAAGCTGATCTTTGAGTCTCTTGATCACAGAATCTTTCATTACTTCTTTGTGTTCTATAGACCAAAGGCAATAGCTGCCAAACTCAATTTGACAAAATTTTTTTGCTTCATCAATCATTGAAACATCGAAAAGATTTTTCTTTTCATCCACGTCTTCCTTCTGAAATCAGCAAAAAGATCCTAGTTATTCCAGAAGTCTGACAAGTTATAACTCGGAATAGCTTAAAGAACCAAGTGTGTAGGATAGCATATGTCAGCAGGGCACAGGGCCTAAGCTAATTCCTTGGAAAGTATTCATCCATGCAAATCATGAAAATAACAGAAACTCTTGTTGACAATATCTAATGGATCATTCCCCTATCCAATTTCTTGCCACAGCGTCACTATAACTAGATAATCAGAAAATTTCGAAACTTAGGCTTAATTTAGTTCATAAGCAGGCGTTTGAGAAAATTTTGAAGGAAATTCTTACGTTGACGTTTGAGGCTGGAGGTGGCTCTGATAAGGTGACCTGTGTTTGCACTATTGGTGGGACTACAAGAATTAAAATATCATCAGTTCCTTTTTGGTATAAAAAAGAAAAGAATGTCAGTATCATCCTGAGACTTAGAGCTATACAGCACATGACTTGCAAACCTTGAGTGTGTGATGCGGTATCCTGTAGTCCTGTAAAAGTACCCGCTTGTTGTGAAATGGTTTGTGCACCAACAGCTGTTGGTTCACTGTAAGCTTCAAAGTGCAAGTTCACTTCTGCTTGCGTCGTCTTATTTTCAGCATTATCCTACAAGTTTGGAATGGCATAATTCAGAAAAATCAATCAATATGTAAAGACCATTCCCATCTCTGGAATCCCGAAAACAAAATAATTTCCCAACACCACGGAAATGCAAGAGCTAATGAGGTTCAATTTATGTGCTTTACGTCGTTTTATGGTAACAGAAAGAGAATTACATAATTCATTAACAGACTCAATACAATCCATTTACAAAGAAATTACTGAATGATGACAATAAATAATTCATTTCATAAAGCATCACAAGTGGAAAGCATGTAGAAAAGCTTCAAACAATAATGCATAAAAAATTTTCCGTACAAAACAAATTTTATCATATTTTAATCAGAAAAAGAAAGAAAAATAACAAAGAATGAAAAGAAGAAAAAAGGAGAAAGACAAAATCGAATTACATGCACTTAAAATCTGAAAATTTATCACCAGTAACAAAAGACTATAGCTGAGGATTATGTAATCGGATTTCCAAATGCTAACTATAGGATGATGAAACCAATGGTTATTCGTTGTCTCATACTCACATCTAGTGTAAGTGCTATCTGAAAATATATCACCAGTAACAAAAGACTATAGCTGAGGATTATGTAATCGGATTTCCAAATGCTAACTATAGGATGATGAAACCAATGGGTATTCGTTGTCTTATACTCACATCTAGTGTAAGTGCTATAGATCAACTGTCTTCATTCAAATACTATTTACTTGATGCTAAGTCTCTTTCACACAGAAGCAATGATGTAACGTTCCGTTAATTGACCATGGTCTGGGAAAAGGTATTTTGGTAAAAGGAACACTGGGATGCAGGGACAGATTTATATACATGCCTAGGGGTGCAGTTGCACCCTATAATATGTAAAACTGCATTATTAAGCCTTCTAAATTTACACTTTGCCCCCATGATTTACATATATTTGCACCCCAACTCGTACGAACTTGAATCGCATTTGAATTTTAGCCCATTTAAATTAGAATATTATTTTACAATATGATATTTTAAGTTGGATAAATAGATACTTGTCGTACATCAACCCTAGAAAGGACAAATTTTCAAAACCAACATCTTTCCACATTTAATCCCAAAAAAGACCCATTTCAACAGTATTTTCAAAAACCGACCTGGTTTCAGCCTTGGCGCTGAAACCAGGTCGGTTTTTGAAAAAAAACTTGCGAAACTTCACGGGAGTTGAACTCCCGTAAAGTTTAGCAAAGCTGCTAAATTTCACGGGAGTTCAACTCCCGTGAAGTTTCGGACTCCTTTTTACAAAAACCAACCTGGTTTCAGCGTTAAGGCTGAAACCAAGTCGGTTTTTGCAAATAACTTCAAAATGGGTCTTTTTTGGGATTAAATGTGAAAGATGTTGGTTTTGAAAATTTGTCCTCCCTAGAAATTTTTTATGGAAACGTCACTGCTAGGATGAACAAATCGTTCCAGCCAGTCACTGTTGTACAAGTAGAAAGAAAAGAAGGATAGAACTGAAGAAGAAAAGAAAAGGATCCATTATTCAATTAGATCTTAGAGACTTGACGTGTCTAATGCTGCTCATGGATTGGGAATACAAACATTACACAATTCCATCAAACTATAGGTCTAATGCGTCCATCCAGTACAAAGGCCTACACGTCTTCATCTTGTTTACAAGGTGTAAGAGCTCCCAGCAAAGTAGAAGATCTGTGCACTACTTCCACTAAATTGTACGAGGTAACAACAACAACCAATAAAGTATATCCAAAATACTAGGGATCGGCTACATGAACCCCGTTCTTTCATTCATTCCGTTATGCGTCATCTAACTCCTTTAACTTAAGTTACTTAACTATATCAACCAAGTTCTTAGGCCTACTCTAGTCTTTCCAGGTTAGTCTTATCACCCTCCCAATTATCAACAATGAACACCCAGTTTAACTGTAAAAAATGGCAACAGAAACCTGAAGGTTTTCCACAGTTTCTTTGATCCTGATCCTTCACCTAATAGTTCATTTATGGCACTAAAGCATGAACAATCCCTATCCAATAAATAAATCCCCTATTCGTCAACAAGCCTCTTGGACACGCTCACTAGTCAAACCTAAAACTAAATCAGAAAGCTACTATTTTGTACAACATTACCCAAAATAAACAAATAAAAGTAAGTAACTTTCTACATCAAATGTCACCAGGCAGGAGTCAACTCTCCAATCCAACAAAAATAGCAATAAAAAAAAATAACCTCCGGCACCTCATGATCAGCATCCTCCCGCTCAAAATTCGCTAAGCTCGCCTCCTACATGAAAACAGAAACACACACGCACACGCACACACAAATCAAATCAAATCAATCTGCGTCAAAATGCGTCGGAAACGAAAACCAAGCGAAGAATCTCACCGACGAGGGCCGATCGTCGACGAAGTAACCTGCACAGATCAAACCGTAACAAAGGATAATCAGAGATCTCGAGATCCAAAGCCAATGCGGCGTCAGATCTAGGGTTTCGAGAGGAGAGAGTACCGGAGGGGAATCGATTGGGGAGGCCGAGGAGGAAAGCGAGGGGGAGGAGGAGGGAGAAGAAGACGAGGGCGGGGACTATAATGGCGTTGCCCCTCCACCGCCGCTTCGATGGGTGAGCTGCGGACGGGTGCCCCTTCGCCGCCGGCATCTTCTTCTTCTTCTTCTTCTTCTTCTTGATCCCGCTTTAATTGTTGCTGTCGTTTTGATGACGACGACGGTGATGATCATTATTCATTATTATTCTCTCTGCGTCTGGAATCTCTGGAAGCCTTTTCGGGAGTCCCCTTCTCTCTGTAGCTCAATTCACAATTAAATCCGTTGGTGGGGGAGGGGAGAGAGAAACAAACGGAAACAAATGGAGAGAGAGCGTGTTGGTAACCGAAGGGGAGATTTGATTGACGATCGTTAGGCAATTAATTAGAGAGAGGAACCTTTTATATTGAAGAGTAAATATCACAAAACCCCTTATCTTCAGAAAATATCAGGAAACCGCCCCCTAGGTTTAGGGATTATGACAAAAGCTCTCTTTTTCAACTTTCAAATGTTTTATCAGAAAACCCTATCAAACATCAAATTTAAAGAGAGGTTTTCTGATAACCCCTGAAATTAGGGGGTTTTCTGATATTTTTGAAAGTTTAGGACGGTTCGCTGATAATTCTCCAAAGTTAAGGGGGTTTTTGTTATATTTGGACTTTATTGAAAGATCATCTTTGGCTTGGCCATTTATGTTTTAAATTGGCTAAATGTCATAAAACTCACTTTAACTTTGGATGATTATAAAAAGGCCCCTTTAACTTTAAAAATATCAGAAAATTCCTCTAGAGTTTAGGAATTATCAGAAAACCCCCTTAACTTTGAGAATTTATCAGAAAATCCCCTATAAATTCGGGGGGTTTTCTAATATTTTGAATATAAAGGGGTATTTCAATATTTTGAACGTAAAGGGGGGTTTTCCAGTAATTGTCCAAATGTAGGGGGGGCTCCTGGTTTAGCCTTTCAAATTTCATGGATAAAGCCCATAACTTCTTTTTAATTTGACACATAATGTATTGTAAGACAAAGTTAAGGCATATTAGGTGCATGTTTGCAACGGAAATCCCGCTCTTCTTCTTTTTTCCCGATTTTACTATAAATGTCACATCGCTCTTTTAAGTTTGGGTTTATTTAGACGGTTTTGGGGGAATACGAATGGGTTTTAGTTAAACAGGCCGGATTTTGATTTGTACTCATAAAGGGTAAAACAAGAATTGCAACGAAATTTGTCTAACATAACGAAACATTCCTTCAATTTTAATCAGATGCTGAGTAGGGGCCTTATTTCAATATATGAAGATATAAGGGGGTAGCGGGGACTAACATCACAATATGAATGATTAGGGGGCCTAATAACTAAAGCACCCTTTACTTTTAGTATTTATAAGTGAGATTTGCGGATATTGGAAGAAAGTGCTCAGTAATTTATCGCCTGAGAAAGTATGTCACTTTCCTTTTATTTCCTACTATTTTATATTTACATTTTAATTATAATACAGATAGTATAGAGAAGTATATGCAGATCAACGGTTGTACGCGGCTCGGATCGACCCGCGGGCTGACCCGGCCTAGCTTGGCATGGGTCACGACCCAAGGAGGTCCGTAGTGGGATGGGTCCGACCCGACTCACTGATGAATACGCGGTCCAGGGTCGGCCGTGGATCCGGCTCCAGACCCGAGATGAGAGAAATCGGCCTCGGCCTACACGACACAGCCCACCATCGCCCAGGCCGACTCGACCCGAAAATTTAAGATTTTTAGCTTTTTTCAGAAATATAAACAATAACCCATATAATTAACGAGCACAAAACCTGCTGCAACGCTGCTAGCCACTGCCATGCTGGCATCGCCCAGAACTGGCGTTCTGGCCAGCAAGCCAGCAAACTGGCCTACTGACCAGCAGCTAGCCAGCAATTTTGTTGCTGGCCGCGATCTAATTTTTTGGCCCAGTCTGGCCTGCTAGTAGCAAGCTAGATTGGACCTTTTTTCCTAAGGAGAGGCTCTCTCTCTGTGTGGCCTTTTTTCTAAACAGAGAGATACTGAGACAGGGTCACAGGCTCTCTTTTTAGCCTGCTAAAATTCTTTTTAGTTTGCTAAAAATATTTTAGCCTACTAAAAGATCAGGTTAAAAGGATTCTCTTTTTAGCAGGCTAAAAAGATGCTCTTTTTAGCCTTAGCAGGCTAAATTATAAAAAAAGTTAAAAACTCATGGGCCAACGCACGAGCCCGTGGGTCGGTGGGCAGAGCCGATCAGGCCCGGCGCCCCGCCACCTAGGCATGGTCGTGGACCGGGCCGGGTCTAATCCCAAACTCGGGATCAGAGAAGGCCCAATCCACTCTGACCTGGGCGGGCCCGGGTCAAACCCGACCTGACCTTGAACCAAGCAGACCATGTTACGGGCCTGAACAGGCTTGGCCCATGCCCACCCCTATGCGGATGACTTTGAATGGCATGCTTTTTCAATATAGTCCCATGTTTTTTTTGGAGCTAATCCCTCAAATCATGGAAATTGCTATTAGGTACACAAATTTTATAAGTTGTCTCAAAATTAGCCCCTCGGGTCATTTAAATTTCTATTAGTATCACAATCCTTATGGTAAGGCATGTACCAGGACAAGCCGAGACAGGCAACTAACCTCCAAATCAAGCAACAAACGCAAAGTGCCTCTGGACTAAGATAGGGTTCTAACTTAAATGTGGATATCAGTCGACATAGTGAATACACTTCTTAGGGCTAGTTTGGTATTGGTTTTTTTTAGTTTACTTCTGCTTAATTTTTTAAAAAACAGTCAATATCAGTGCTTGGTAAAACTTATTTTGCATGTATACTGAAATTGTTGTTGCTTTTTAAATCTAAGAGAAAAAACCTAATGCAGCTATGGCGACTCCTCCTCCTTCTCCCTCCTCGAGTTCTCCCCCTTCAGACACCCGCAACCTCCCTGCCAAACCCTACCCTCCCCCTCCTCCTCCATCATGGTCAACGTTGCTAAAGTAGGAAAGCCCACGACCAGACTCAGCCATGTGACCCCGGAAGAAATTAGCAAACTTCGCGCCATAATCACTAATAAAATCTCTATATCGAAAGAGGTCATCGAAGAAGCTAGCAAACCTTGTCGTTGCGCCCTCACTGGCCACTTTATTGGCTACGACACTGACCTCATAGCTCGCTCCCTAGGAAGACAATGGCAGACCTCTGGCGATGTTGAGATTATCCCAATGACGGATGGTTTTTTCACCTTCCGTTTCTCTTGTGAGGACGACATGATGAAGGTGTGGACTGGTGGCCCATGGATAGTTGGTGGCATGGTCCTGTCGCTGGAATAATGGAAATCATGTTTCCGTCCATCTCGAGAGGCGGTGCCAAAAGCAGCCATGTGGGTTCGTCTCCCAAAACTTCCTCTAGAACTCATGACACGAGAGTGGGTTCTAAGCATTGCTGCCAGAGCAGGGACTCCTATTGACGTTAATGTTAGCACCAAGAACCTTCGTTGAGGCACTTTTACGTGAGTATGCATCAAGATCGATCTCTCCCAACCATTGGTTTCCAAAGTCCCGATCTAGGTTGAAGGCGAACCAGAGTTCTGGCAAGAGTTCATCTACGAGAGGATTAGACTTTACTGCTTCCAATGTGGACGTATCGGGCATCGGCAAGCCCAGTGCACCCACACAATCCAGGGTGGCACATATTGGCGACCTCCACAGCCTTTGTAGCCTCCCAACATACCAAATGTGGTTCTGTCATCATCCAACTCTAATCCTTCCCACTCGAGTAACTCGGCACCTCATCATGCCCATCCTTCCCCATCGGAGGGCATCTATGGCCCTTGGCTGGCCATCCTGAATTTCAACCGGAGAAGGAAAGCCACTACCAATAATGTTGGGCAGAGCACGAGGAACTTCGACCATCGTTCATCGAATATTCATCGTATCCGTCAAGGACCTAATCATAACTCCACCAAAGTTTCATATGACAACAAATTCAATCCTCTCATTGACGTCGATGGCTTAGAATCCCCTCTAAATCTGGATGACCAGAGGAAATCCACCAGCTGGTAGGGCACCAATTGAGGAACCTTGCCCGATGACTTCCAAATCAGTTATTTCTTCCAAATCCACTCAAATCAATAGGGGTAAAGCTATCTTGTATGGATCCAAAAGATCCGATAGCGACAATCTTGAAGCGACATCACATCTGATTTTGCATGCCAAATCTATAGGAACCGAGAATATCTCAACAATTCCCACCCCTCAGGCTCCTAACCAGAGCTGGGATCTTGTCCCAATGACAGGCACCAGGATTTCACTCTCCCACAACCCCCCGCCTCTATCATTCCAACACCCCAGGAGAAGCCATGCATATCAACAAAGCATCTTACGGCTCACCAAATTTCCATGGCTTGTTCAAGCACATCCATTAGCCATGATATAAAATGTCGCAAAGAGTCTATCTCAACTGACACCTCTACGGGTGGTCCCGTCTTATATTCTTCGATCGAACTTGGCCGACCCACCCCCAATGACTTCTTAATGTCGATTCTCTGCTAGAATTGTAGAGGCGCTGCCAAGGCTGTAGTAGAGGAATGATGTAAGTCTCTCATTAGCATTCACGAACTCCATTTGCTTATTCTCTTGGAAACCCAAATTGGGTTCAACTCCGTTAAAAGAATTTGCAGGAGAATCTCCCCGTCATGGACTCATTTCATCCTACCTACGATTGGCAGGTCTGGCGGTATCATTATCTATTGGGATATGTCTCAAATCAGCTTTAACATCTCCCATTCTAATCGGCAATTTATCATGGGAACTATCATATCACGGGAACTGTCACGTTGAATGGCCATCCAACTTGGGCCTTTACGGCTGTGTATGCAAGCACCTGTCAGAACATGAGGCGCACCCTTTGGAGGGAGCTCACTGGACTGCTAGCCTCTGCTACTCCTTTTATACTTATTGGCGACTTCAACGAAATAACCAGCCCTAAAGATAGGACTGGAACCTATAATGATGATGTTAACGCTGCTGAGTTCCGTGACTTTATAACCAGTAATGGTCTTATCGACTTGGGGTTCTCTGGTTCGTCCTACACATGGTGCAACATGAGATAGGGTAATGCTAGGCTTTGGGAGAGACTTGACAAAGCCCTGGCGTCAGACCACTGGTGGTTAGCTAATCTCAACTTTGGTACGAAAACCAGCCCTAAAACTGTTCACTTTGAAAACTTTTGGTATGAATACTCTAGAACTAATGATATCATTGAAGCTGAGTGGAGCAAGGCATCCACTGGCGACCCTCTCTATAAGGTATTCTCTAAGCTTTCAGGCATTAAACAATCTCTCAAGCTTTGGAATAGACACGA